TGAGCGGAGCGGTGGCACCGCTGGGTGACGCCCCGGGGGTTGTGCCCACAGTGACTGCAAAGACTTTGGTCGTCCCAGAGAAGCGGGATGGGGGAGCTGGGACTCGCCGAGCGGCGTAAGGAGAGGGTCGGGACAGGAGGCGACCCGGGCAGAGCTGCTCTGCTGCTGCTCCCACCTCAACCAAGGCCACCCAGCAAGGGCTGTCACCCTCCCAAACGTGGCTCTCTGCAGAGCCCAGGACACCAGGACTGCTTCACCTCCTGGGCCAAGGTGGCACCATAACCCATGGCAGGAGGGGAAACGCTCCCGTGGCATAAGGGGACTGTGCCAGGGGGTGATTGTAGGACCGTGGAATCATTCAGGTTGGAAAAGCCCTCTGAGATCGTGGAGTCCAACCATTCCCCCAGCACTGCCAAGGCCACCACTGACCCATGTCCCCGAGTGCCACATCCACACGGCTTTAAATCCCTGCAGGGATGGGGACTCCACCCTTGCCCTGGGAAGCTGTGCCAGGGCTGGACAACCTTTTCAGTGAAGAAATGTTTCCTAATATCCAACTTAAACCTCTTCTGGCATGACCTGAGGCTGTTTCCTCTGCCAGATCATGGGACTTCAGTCCATCCCTCTCTGAGCTGTGTCCAAAAAAACAACCAGAGCTGGGAAGAGAAAATGATGCCACTTCAGAGACTGTAATTAAAGAGCTCCAGCTCCACACCTGGAGTCCTTCAATCTGGGACTGCTCCCAGAGGAGAACTTTCTATCATTAATGTCATTAATCTGTTATTTAGAGACCTCTGACTGCAGCCAGGGCAGCCCTGGACATGGGTGTGATGCTGGGAATACAGATACAGCCAGAGCACACCTGAAGCTCACCCTGTACCATGTGCCAGTGCCAAATTCCCCATGCCCACTGTCCATCAGGGTGACAGTGAACTGATGAAGATATTAAGCCTGAGAAGAACCTCATTAAGGGAGCAATTTGTGGGAACTCGAGTTGCTTCTCGCAGTGCTAAAGCAATTAGGATGGAATAACAGGCAGTGCCAAGGGCTCTCCCTTCCCTGCCCATGAGGAGAAGGATGAGCAACAGCACTGCCCAGATTTCCATAGCAGAGGTAAAAAGGGTAGGATGGGGTTGTGTTATTTTTTTTTAGGAGAAGATGAAAAAACTATCCCCTTTCTTTCACAGTTCCCCAAGCAGGGACAGAGGCTGTGCAGGCACCGAGAGAGGCCCCACAGCCTGCAAGAGGCAGAGATTTGGGGGTTTCAGCTCTCATCTGGATGGAGCAGCATCCCCCCCAGAGGCATGGCTGAGCTCCAGCTCCCATCACATCCTGCAGGAACCACCCTCCAGGAACCTCTGGACCACATCACCTGCAGCTGAACCACGACTGATGGGTCCTCCCACTCCCCAAATCCCCCCGTCAGCCCCGCCCCACATCCCTGAGCCACCACTTTTCCTTGCTGTCCCCCTTCCCACCGTCACTGCCAGGCAGTCAGACAGCCCGGGGAGGAGGAGGGGGATGCTTGGAGGAAGCAGGAATGGCAGTGACTGGACAAATTGGTGCAGCTGGAGGAAGCAGGCGAGCGCTGGGGGCACCTGGGGCTCATGGGCTGGAGGCAGAGCCTGTCTTGTGTCTGGTTTCTCCAGTTGCATCAATTTAGGCTAATAACGGCCATTACCTCTCCTCAGCAGCCCCACCTTTCTCCAGAGCCTGTGGAAATTGCAGCCTTCCCTGTTAGGAAGACATGAGGCAACCAAAACCAATTTCTTTTTCAAAGGAATCAAATAGGGTGAAATTGCCCATTTGGGTCTCAAATTGACTGTGCCAGCGGATCCTCCTCCTCTGCCTGCACTGTGTCAACCTGCCACAGGCAAAAGCCTCTTGCTCAGTGTTACATCCACTTGGACATCTCCAGCTCGTGCCCAGGGCTCCTCAGGATCCCTCTGCAGGCACAGATGGAGTCCTGGATCACTGGCTTGGGTTCCTCATCCTCTGCTGCTACAAGTCGTGGAGCATCAGGTGAGGGAAAGCAGGGTCAGCTCCAGGGCAGGAACTGGGGGGAAACCCCCGAGGTCCCACAAAGCTGAGCTTCAGCTCCTTGAAAAGAGAGACTGAAGTGTCCAGAGGATTGCAGACCATCCTTTAGCTGTCCACCCCCACCCACCCCCAGGGCAGAACCGTCAGCAGCCTGTGGTGGGAAAGGTTTGGAGCTGGTTGATGGTGAGCACTTGAGCATGGTGGGATTTCAGGATGTCCCACCAGGCTGGACATCCCATGCTGTGGAACAGGACATCTCGGGGTTCTCTCCTGGCTTGAGCATGAAGCTGAATTCCAGCTTGATATCTCAATTTGGGGGGCACCCCTAAAAAAACGTGGTGACCCTAAATCAGTGATCTCTTCAACCCACCAGTGCCTCAGTGCTCCCTAAAATCCAACCCCGTGATCAAGGCTGGGAATGGCACAACGGAGAGCAGCTTTTCCCACCACAGGGAAGGAACAGGGACACAGGGAAGGTGAATCCTGCCATCAGGGATGAGGCATCTCTGTCCTGGTGCAGCCCCTCCGAGGACATGTCATCGTGTTGGGGGGATGAGTGAGCCCCCCACGAGTGCTGGGGCTCGTGGGCTGCCCTGAGGCTCCAAAGGCAGTTCTTCCCCCCATTTCCTGTCCCCACGGGGCCTTTTTTCCATCTACCGAATTCCCAGCCTGCTGGGAAACGTGCCTGCCGTGGCCTTAAAGCGGGTTAAGAGGCTCCAAGTCATTACTTTTTAAAGTGCTCGGGCAGAGCTCTGAGCCCAGGACACAGCGAGGAACGCGGCTTTCCTGAGCTCCGGGTTTGCTGACTGAAAGAAAGGCAGAACATTCCCGGGAAAAAGGGGACATGGGCGGAGAGCACTGCACTGGGGCACATGGGGTGACATGTGGACCTTGAGCATCCCCACCTGGCAGCAGCCCAGCAGGGATCTGGGGGCTGATCCAGCTCCTCCCCTCCCAAAAACTGCTCCAGCCCCTCCAGCTGCTCCAGCCCCTCGGTCGGGCTGGGAAACTGAGGACAAATCCTGGCCCAGGGAAACGCCACAGGGATGCTCAGAGTGTGTACTTGTATAAATATATCTGTATGTATATGTGTCTATAGGTGTATGAAGTCAAAGTGACCCCCCCACCCCACCCCCTGCTACAGCAGCTGCCCCGTGTGTGATGGAGCTGAGTCCGCCGGGTCCACAGCACCTCACAAAGTGCTTCAGCCACTATTCCCAGCTCCAGCCCTCGGGATTTTGGGCCTTTTCAGTGGCATTTCTGTAAAGGAACCCTGCTTTCTAAAAAATAAAATAATAAAGCAAAATAAAATCGGAGATAGGAAGCAGTTTCCAGCTCTCCCGTGACTCTGGGGCGTTGAAAATGAGCAGGGTCTGGCTCAGGGGGGTGTTTTGGGGAGTGATGGGAGAGGAAACACCCTCTAAATTTACTCTTTGCTCTTTTCCCGTGAGGGTGGTGAGGCCCTGGAATGGGTTTTCCAGAGAAGTTGTGGCTGCCCCATCCCTGAAAGTGTCCAAGGCCAGGTTGGATGGGGCTTGGAGCAACCTGGGCTGGTGGAAGGTGTCCCTGCCCATGGCAGGGGTGGAATGAGATGAGCTTTAAGGTCCCTTCCATCCCAAACCGTTCTGTGATTCTAAATTCAAGTTCTAAAAGCTCGCATGGACTTGGAAAAAATCACCTTTGTGAACCCCTGAGGCCCTTTAGCTGAAGTTATTTCCAAGCCTTGAGTAATAAAAAGCCTCTGTTGCTGCTGGTCATCAAGATACAATTTTATTTTAACAGCCCAGCAGCTCAAAATCTGGCCCAAATTACATTTTTTGCAATTTAAATGCAAATGAGGATTTAGTGAAAAAGCAACAGAAAGGGGTGTTGGAGCCTGAAACCCCTCTTGGGCTTAATGAGACTTTGCATTTTAAGGTATTTCTCCCTTCTGCCCTGTCGTTTGTGAGTTCCCAGGGAAGGGGGAACCATAAAGAGCACAAGGTGGGCGTGTGAAATCCAGAATTCCAGCCCCGGGGTGGTGGAGCAGCACTCCAGGACCCCTCTCCATGTCCCAGCTCCCTGGGAAATCGGAGCCAGGCACCGACTCCAGCGATTTCACAGCCCAGTTAAACCAGCAGCTGAATAATGCAGCGACCTGTGCCAGCACACGGGAGCTGCCACTCACCTCCCAGCTATTCCCAGGGACTTCTTCAGCCCAAAATCACGTTTTCTACTGCAGAAAACGTCCTTTCCCCCTTTTTTTCCTTTACTTAATCCAGCGAATAACGAGCCCTGATGTATCAGGCTTTATTTTTACACGTGTGATTAATTATGATGACGCTGGTTCCTTTGTCTGCAGGTTTAGGTCGATTTTGGAATTGCATTAACAATGCAGATGGCAATGAGTGGATTTAGCTTTTCCTGGGGAGGATAGGGCTGAGATGTCCCACCCTCCTCGCTCTGGAGCAGCCAGGGATGCATCCAGGCTCTCGGCCCTGCAGGGACGCTTGTCTGGCAATTCATCATTTAAAAGGGGGAAAAAAAATCATTATGAATAATTCCTAGAGGGTTGTTTTTTGTTTTTTTTTTTTCTCCTTTCAGAGTTACAAATTCTCTCAGTTTGTGCTTTTTTTATTCCCTGGGCAAATGGGACTGGGAGGAAGGGAAGGGGGATTGTGGGAGCACTGGGGCTCCTCTGGGCAGGGATGGAGCCACAGCCCCATTCCCTCAGCTCCCAAGGGATGTCCTGAGCTGGGTGAAAAGTTTTCCTTCTTTTTGCCCTGTTGTTGCAGGAGATGAACCAGAACTTCAGCAGTTTTGGGAGGGGGCAGAGACACCCACACATCACTTATTTCAGCCCAATTCCCGTCCCCAAGACACCCAACACGCTCCTCTACCAGGAACCACACCAGATAATTACTTATTCCAGTTATCCTGGGATGTACTGGCCAGATTCCAGCCTTAATGACGGGATTCAGGGAGGTGACACAGCCCAGTGCAAGGACCAAACCCTCTCTGTCGCTTGCAGACCCATCATTAAACCCCGACAACAGGCAGCTTGGCCATAATTAAAGCTCGTTTCCTCTTCCAGGCAGGA